GTGGTTTATAATAATTTAAATTTGAACTACGATTCGTATGTAAAAATAAGGTGATGTCGCTTTATGAAAAAAGAAAGTGAGGGAGATAGTTTGGACCATAGATTAATTATCTAAAATTAAAAAAATTGATATGATATGACTTAACGAGAAAAAGAGAGAAATAACACTAACTAAGTAAGGATGAACTATATACGTACATATGATATTATAAGAAATAATGAAGAGATATATTAAAAAATATGTGAATAATATGGATGATGATTTAATATGTTTGCATTTTGAAACTCTAAAATTTAATAAATTATAAAATTATAGATAATATAGCATACTTACACGATATTTAATTGTAATAAATGTTAGTGGATGATGATGTGGCATCTTGTTACAGCATGATGATGTGACATCTTAACATGTTAACTTTAGAATTTAATGGAATTACGTGGGATGATGATTTAATATGGTTGCATTTTAAAACTCTAAAATTTAATAAATTATAAAATTATAGATAATATAGCATGCTTGCATGATGTTTAAATGTAATAATTGATAGTGGATGATGATGTGCCATAGTGTATGATGATGTTTTGTGCATTATAACTTTATAGTAAGATAGATCTAGCACGTACATTGATAATCCCATCGAAATAATAATTCTATGTAATTATATACCCACTTACTGTAAAAATTAAAGCTGCAAAAGAAACATGTAAGACCTCATATATACTGGAATGCATATTTAGAAATCTTTTTTTTAATAATGGTATGCATATTTAGAAATCTATACTCCGTACAGAAAAGATTAGTATCGGTGGTGGTTCCGCCACTGCCTCCACTGCAACTCCCAACGAAAAAATGGCATGTGAGGCTAGATGGCCCACATATCAACTACTCTCACCAACTCTTTATTTTTTGTGGGAAGAAAAAAATTAGTGTAGAACTAAAAAGAGATTAAAAAATATATACGACAAATGAGAGATGTTAATAACATGTTAAAGATAATTTTCTTAAATTGCAATTCTGTTGCACCGCACGGGCAATATGCTAGTATATATCCAATAAATTTCAACAGGAATGCATGGTTTTAGACTATATATGCTCGCTCTTTGCTGTACTATTGAACACTAGCTAAATGCTCGGGCGTTTCAAGAAGGTTATTGAAAGTGTACAAATTAAGTACTTGTTGAAAAATGTATTTTTAATTGATTTAAATAAAATCTTTCATTAAAAAACAGAAAGAAAAAAAGGCATATTTACAAAATTAAAGATCTGAAACCTAGCTAGAGAGTAAAAACTACAAAGAAACAAGTAAGCAAAGTATGCATGGACATATAGGTGATATGGTGGTGTCGGACCGTCTTCTTAATTTTAGTAGCATAGATATAAGAGTTAAAAATTTTGTATTTAGAAAAGCTGAATTATGAAGCCTAATCACGGTTGCATAACACGTACAGGCTCGTTTTTGCGTTCCTACTGCGGGCCCATGAGCCAGAACGGGAAGCCGCGCGCGTTTTGGCCTCCCCTACTAACCCTAGCGTTTAGTACCGTGTGAAAAAACGGCGTGCGTTTTTTTTTCATGTTCGCACCTTCTTTTTTTTTTTTGTCTCTGAGCGTGTTTTTTTCTTCCGTTTCTTTCCGATTTTTTTTAATCTTTTGCACACCTCTTTACAAATGTATAATTGAAAAGTTTTTTATTTTGACTTGAAAGTTTTTAAATTTTGTATTGAAAGTTTTAAATATGAGTTGAAAGTTTTAAATTTTGAGTTAAAAGTTTTCAAAATTGACTTGAAAGTTTTTAAATTTTGTATTGAAAGTTTTTAAATTTGAGTTGAAAGTTTTTAAATTTGAGTTGAAAGTTTTTATATTTGAGTTAAAAGTTTTCAAATCTGGCTTGAAAGTTTTCAAATCTAGGATGAAAAGTTTTAAATTTGGGATGAAAAGTTAAAAGTTTTTAAAATTTAACTTCAAAAAGTTTTCAAATCTAGGTTGAAAGTTTTTAAATTTAGGTTGAATGTTTTCAAATCTGGATTGAAAGTTTTCAGAATTTGACTTCACGTATAGATTTCTTTTCAATCTATTACTTAAAATAATCTTCGGAAAAAAGACAAATCTTATCTTAACCGAATCAGTTTTGAATCAGTTTTATAGAGAAAAAATTCCGAAAAAAATAAACGCGCGTCTCGCCAGCGCATACGCTGAGAATGGCTGAGGATGGGACGTGTGGGCCGGTACATGTGGGCCGGCGCGTGCACGCCGAGGGCGTACACACCAATTAGGATTTGCGGTTGTTTGTATTTTTGAGAACTCTGATTCTTTCATGTACTATATATATACATGTAGACCTGATCACCTGAAAGAATGACTTGTAGCTAAAGATACCCTGGCAAAGGGTACTACTAGAAAAAGCTTTTTTTCAAACGTAGGAGTCTTTTTCCACATGCGGACATAAGCCTAGGAGTCAAATGACCGCTTACAAAAATATAAATCGGGGTGAAGTTCGCTGTCTACCTGTGAAAATCTATTTTCGCAGGCGGACCACCTAAGAGGCACCTGCGAAAATAGATTTTCACAGGCGCACCTTATATGGTCCTCCTGCAAAAATTGTACCTACCAAAAAAAAAAACTTTGATCCTTATCTACTACTCCAACCCCCCTCCCCACTACTCATTTCTATCTTCTCAACTCTCTCTCTCCCTTCACCACCGGCTTCTTATCAGCTCCCCATCCCCTCCCCTCCCCTCCCTCCCACCACCGGCGGCGGAGTGCGCGGCAGCGGTGCGCGGACGCGCAGCGGAGGCACACGCGGACGCGTCGGCGACCCGGTGCAGCGGCGGCGGCTCCCCGGCCTCCTCTCCCAGATCCGGCCGGAGGGAGGCCGGGGGAGGGCGGCGGCGGCTGCGGCGACGTGGTTCCCCAGCCTTCCCTCCCAGATCCGGCCAGAGGGAGGCCGGGGGAGGGCGGCGGCGGCGAGCACGGACGCGGCGGCGCGCAGACGCGGCGGCGACCTAGTGCGACGGCGGCGGCTCCCTGGCCTCCCCTCCCAGATCCGGCCGGAGGGAGGCCGGGGGAGGGCAGCGGCGGCGACGTGGGCTGCTCCCCTCCGGCGGCGGCTCCCCGGCCTCCCCTCCCAGATCTGGCCGGAGGGAGGCCGGGGGAGGGCAGCGGCGGCGGCTCCTAATGCTACAGCGGTGGCGAGGCGATTTTTTTTGTTTTTTATTGGATTTTCGTAGACGGGCCATTTGTCCGCTTGCGAAAATGGATGATTTTCACCGTTGTCTGTTTGCAGGCAGTCCTCCCCTCCGCCTGCAAAAATTGCTTTTGGCCGCCTATAAAAATGCTTTTTCCAGCAGTGGGGGAAACTAAAAGGTCACTATCATGAACTACACATACTACATATTAATTTGGTTCAATTTAGGAGTGATCGATTTGATGTTGTCACCTAAAGATTAATTTCATCCGGGAACGTTACCCTACTTTCTGCTAATCTGTGTAGTAACACGACACTACTACGAAAAGCATTTTTCCGTGCGATTAAAATGATTTTTTCGTGTGGAGGATTTGTCCGTCTACACCAAAACGTCTGGAAATATTGCGACCCAACCACACGAGATAATCATTTTTCTATGCGGTCGGATTAAGTGGACCGCACGGGATAATCGATTATCCCGTAAGGTGAAATTATACCACCCGCACGGAACAAAAATAACCAAAAATAATTAAAAAAAAGCGAAAATCACCGCGGGCGCCGCACGCACCCGGGTGCCACCGCCGCGACCAGCCACGGCCTGCTGGCGCACGTGCATGCGGAGCCGGCCGCGCCGCCTCGTCGTCGTCGTCGTCGTCGTGGCGCCCGCCGCCGTCCGCGTGACCAAGTCATTTTGGTAGTAGAAACCAAAAACAAGCAGCCTGCAGTAGTACTAGTTACAGCCAGAGAAACCCTCTCTAGGAAAAACAGCCGAGTGAGATCAAAGCAAGAAGAGAGCAAGAACTCAAGCACCGTTTATATCGGCATGGAGAAATTAGGGGACCCACAATGGTTATCTATAGGCTCTCTACAAGAGATCCATGTCAGCATATTTTTCTACTTTTAAGATATTAAATGAAGAGAGAGAGCAAAGCTATCTATTAATTTAGAGATAGTTTATAGAGAAAAACGAGGCAATGCATGAGAGAGCTATAGATATCAATGTAGACAATCTATTAAGGTGGTTTATTATTAATCAAGTTTATTGCTGAGATATACATGTTTTATAGAGAACACCTTACTTTACTACTGTGGATGCTCTTAGTAGCACAGCAGTCTCAACTACCAGAACATTAGCAATAGCAGCCACCACTAGCGGTTTGGCTGGGGATTCAACTCAAGCTTGAGAGCAATTGTCAAGAGACTGGAAGCCTGTAGTTCAACATCACAACCACACCACTTTGCTATCGTAGCAGCCATAGAGAAGAAAGAGAGTAGGAGATGCTTGAGATCCAGAGCATGCATGCGGAGTCGGTGGTGCCGCTTCGTCGTCGTCATCGTCGTCGCGCCCGCCGCCGAGAGCCGTGCGGGGCCCCACCGCCGTCCGCGCCCGCCGCGCGTGCACGCGGAGCCGGCGGCGCCGCCTCATCGTCATCGTTGTCACATGCGCCAACCGCTGAGCTGCTGGCCCCGCCGCCGTCTGCGCCCGCCACGTGTGCACGCGGAGCCGATCTCGGAGCCGGTATGTCACGACTTCTAAGAATTAGGGTTTAGCGAGGAGGAATTTTGGGATTGAGATGAGAACGAGAGCAGCAGAGGAAGAGGAATTTGGGGAAGAATAGCAAGAACAGGGAGAGATTTGAAGTAGTTTCAGAAAAGTGTTTCTACAATGTTCGCTTCAATCTGTTCCCTGCCGGCCTCTTATAGCACTGCGCTAATGGGCCTCTCTCACTCCCCGTGGCCCAGCCCAACATCACTGGGTCCACACACTCGAGTTATACAATCTATTAGGCTGTCTCTCCCGCGCAGACTTCCTTCTCTACCCATTGTGTGAGATTGGTTCGTCGCCTTGATCATCCGTGCCTTTGGGTGGATCAGATGAAGTAGTCGTCATGACATTCTCCCCCCCTTGAAATGAAGCTTGTCCCCAAGCTTCGGCCTGTGGAAAGCGTTGACGTAGTTCCTGAAGATTCTCCCAGGTGACGGCGGCGGGATCTTGGCGGGACCAACAGACCTGAACTTGTTTCACCAGTTTAGCTCCTTTGCGAACAAGCCTGTGATTCAACACCTGACAAGGCGAAATGTCTGCAGCTTCATCAGCAGGCAAAACGGGTAAATGAGACTGTACCCGTTCTACGGGAGCCAAAGCCTTCTTGAGTTGGGAGACGTGAACCACCGGATGAATTAAACTGGAATCTGGCAGTGCCAGACGGTAAGCCACAGTTCCCACCTTGGCCAAAACCTGAAAGGGCCCATAAAAACGAAAAGAAAGTTTGCGATTAGTGCGAGTGATGACCGACTGTTGCACAAACGGTTGAAGCTTCATATAGACCCAATCGCCAACAGAGAAGGAGCGCTCCGATCTCTTTAAATCAGCCTGATGTTTCATTCTCATTTGAGCTCGCAGCACATGTTCTCGAATGAGAGTTTGCATCTTATCCCTTTCATGCAGCCAATCAACCAACTCTGGTGCTGTACAAGCAGCTGCAGCTGTCAGACCAAAATAACGAGGTTTGTGCCCATACAATACCTCAAATGGTGTGGCTCCCAAAGAAGAATGAAATGAAGTATTATACCAATACTCAGCCAAGGCAAGCCATTTGCTCCATTGAGAGGGACAGGAGTGCACAAAACAACGTAAAAAGGTTTCAAGACACTGATTAACTCGCTCTGTTTGCCCATCGGATTGAGGGTGATAAGAAGAACTCATTCGCAATTGAGTGCCAGCCAATTTGAATAGTGTCGTCCAAAGAGTGCTAGTAAAAATTCTATCACGATCTGAAATAAGAGCCTCTGGTAATCCATGTAAGCGATGAATGTGCTGCATGTATGCCTCAGCAATGTCCAAGGCTGTGAAAGGATGAGCCAATGCCACAAAATGCGCATATTTGGAAAACTTATCCACCACCACTAAAATGCAATTGAAAGTGGATGAGCGAGGCAGACCCTCAATGAAGTCCAAAGAAACAATTTGCCAAGACTGTTCCGGAACCGGCAACGGTTGTAATGCACCTGGATACTTGACATGTTCCACCTTAGCCTTCTGACAGATATCACACTGTTGAACAAATTTTGCAACATCTGCACGAAGACCTGTCCAAGCAAAAAGTTGTCTGATTCGGTGATAAGTCACTGTAATTCCGGAATGTCCACCAATAGCAGCTGTATGCAAATTGGCTAAAATCTTTTGTTGCACAGGCACATTATGTCCTATCCACATTCTGCCCTTGAAGTATAGCAGACCATTTTTAAGTGTGAAGTCAGGAATGGCAGAACTATTGATGCACAGCGTTTGAACTTTACTGGCAGAATCAGGATCCTGATGATAACCTTCAATTACTTCTTGTGTCCATTCGGGAACACAAACAGAAAGAGCTGATAGAGCAACAGATTCAGGTACAGGACAGCGAGACAAAGCATCAGCAGCATTGTTATCAGCACCCTTTTTATAAATGATCTTGTACTGAAGTCCCAACAATTTTGTAAGAGCCTTATGCTGCCAAGGCGTGGTCAGCCGTTGTTCAGCCAAAAATGAGAGACTGCGATGATCTGTCCTGATAAAGAATTCATCATGTTGTAAATATGATCTCCAGTGATCCACTGCCATCATGATAGCCAAACTCTCCTTGTCATAGGTAGAAAGACCCCAATGCCGAGGTCCCAAAGCTTTACTGAGGAAGGCTATAGGGTGATCATTCTGCATCAACACAGCGCCAATCCCTTTATCTGATGCATCGGTTTCAACCACAAATGGTAAGGAGAAATCCGGCATTGCAAGAACAGGAGCTGACATCAGTGCTTGCTTGAGGGTTTGAAAAGCTGCATCTGTCACAGTATTCCAAATGAAAGGCTGACCCTTGCGCAACAGATTTGTCAATGGTTTACTGAAAATACCAAAATTTTGCACAAACTTTCGGTAATAACCTGCTAACCCAAGGAAGCTTCTCAAGTCCTTTAGTGACTTAGGAGTGGGCCAATCTTTAACAGCCTTTATTTTATCTTCTTCAGTAGCAACCCCATTTGGACTGATTCTGTGACCCAAATAAGACAGTTTCTGTTGAGCAAAAGAGCATTTGCTCTGTTTAACTTTCAGACCATGTTTAACCAAAATTTGGAAAACAGCCCTTAAATGGTTGATATGGTCAGCAAGAGTGCGACTGTAGATTAAGATGTCGTCAACGAACACAAGCACACAGCGTCGAAGTAATGAGGATAGAATATTGTTCATGATCCCTTGAAAAGTGGCTGGTGCACTAGTCAAGCCAAATGGAAGTACCCTAAACTCAAAATGACCATTATGAGTGCGAAATGCTGTTTTGTGTTCATCTTCAGTCTTCATTCGAATCTGATGATATCCCGCTCGCAAATCCAACTTTGTAAACCACTGAGCACCTGACAATTCGTCAAGTAACTCGTCAATAATTGGCAAGGGATACTTATTCTTAACTGTAATCGCGTTGAGATGGCGATAATCAACACAGAATCGCCATGATCCATCTTTCTTCTTAACCAACAGTACAGGAGATGCAAAAGGACTAGAACTGTGTTGTATGATGCCATTCTGTAACATTTCAGTCACTTGAGCTTCGATCTCATCTTTTTGGGCGGGTGTATAACGATAGGGTCTGACATTCACCGGTTGTGCCCCTGGTATTAGAGGAATTGTGTGATCGAATTGTCTTGTGGGAGGCAACCCCTTTGGTTCAGCAAAAACAGTTGCATACTCCTGAAGTAATAACTGAATTTCATTTGGTATTTCTTCAGATTCCTCATCTTGAGAGAGAGAACAAAGCTGAACCATATGGGCTACTGCCTGTTTCTGTTGCAATTGCTGCATCTCCTTAGCTGATAACAATTCACACCTAGACAGTTCAGACTGAACCCCTGTTAGAGTCACCATTGCTCCCAGCAAATTAATTCTGATAGTTTTCTGAGACCAATTAACTAACATTGGACTGTGCTCCTTCAGCAAATCCATTCCCAAAATCATGTCATAGCTGTTAAGAGGCAAAATTCTCAAAGTGGTTCTAAATCTGTGACCCTGCACTTGCCATTCACACTGAGGAATCATAGCATCACAACAGAGTGTACCACCATTAGCAACTCTGACTGACAATTGTCGAGGAAGAGATTGTATCCCTTTTAGACCAGCTGCTATCTGTGAACTGATAAAACTCACTGAGCTGCCTGAATCCACTAGAATTAACACTTGTTTTCCTTGAACTTGTCCTAAAATGCGCATAGTTCCATCTGGCTCAGAACCTTGTACTGCCTGCACTGAAATTGCCATTAGTTCACCCGTTTCAGCATCTGATATAATTGAGGTTTCCCGACTTTCCTGAGCTCCCTCCTCCATAAAGAGACTGAACAGCTCCTGAACCACATTGAGTTGAACTGAGGCTGAACACTTATGAGTAGGGGACCATTTCTCTGCACAAATATAACACAATCCCTGGGCTCGGCGATAAGCCTTGAGAGTAGTCACTTTATCTGTCGAATTTGTTGGACTGCGAACAGTATCAGTGCTTCTCTTCTCTTTAGGACGATTCATCAAAGAGAAACTTCCACTCTTCCCTGGTGGTTGCGGCAACGGCCACGGTCCCTTGCCTGCCGATCGAAAACCAGAGTTGCCTTCCATTCTCTTGACTTCCTTAACACTGGAAACTTGAGGATTCTCCAACACCTCTTCCCGTAACAAAGCAACAGACAGAGCAGTTTCGAGGGTCTTTGGTCTCTGTAAAAGTACAGGATTACGAATCTCTCTTCGCAGCCCTTCAATGAATCGATGAGTCAAATATTTTGCACTCACCCCAGGGTCATAAACTAATAGTTGATTCATTAGCTCAGCAAATCTCTCATAAAACTCCCAAACCGTTCCCGACTGCTTAATACTATCCATTTGCCTAATCAAATTTTCATGCTGGTCGCGATCAAATTTTTCCGACACAGCAGCACAAAAATCCCCCCATATAGGAAAACGCAAATGAGCTCTAGAAGATCTTAACCAAGATGCAGCCCTTCCCACAAAGTAGATGGTTGCTACCCTCACCCACAAACCAGGAAACGTGTTATTCACATCGAAATAATGCTCACACTTCATGCGCCAGTCCTGGGGATCTAACCCATCGAATTTAGGGAAATCCAACTTTGGAACACGGTGATTATATTGTCTCTCCCCAAATTCGAAGTCAATTTCTCCACCTTCAACCCCCGAACTCTCAAATTTTGGAAACTGGAAGGAGTGTGAGTCATACGTACCCTTGACCGGGGTTGGACCTAGGGTCATGTTTCCTCCTGAAGTCTTTCCCCGGTGATTCTGAAGCTGATGATGGCTTTGAGCCGATTTGCTTCCGCCCTCCACCGAGGCCATAAGAGAATTTGGCGGTGGCGTGGGCAGCAGTGGCGCCTTCCTTTCCCCGTCTGTCGACGGAACCCAAGGGGAAGACGCCGATGCGGAAGCTTGCTGTGATTTGCCAATGAGATCCAATTGCTGCTTGATCTCTTCGACCTCCCCACGCAGCTCTTGAACCGCGGCTTCCACTTGAGGTTTCCAACTGCTGGCTCCTTGTTCCAACTTGACGACCGCCGCTTGAGTCTCGGCTTGTGCATGATTCAGCGCCACCAACGACTCCTGGATCTCCAAGAGCACCTTGCCGAAATCCACGTTCTGCTTCTCCATAGCTTCGACTTGGAGTTGCAATCGAGATGTGTAGCGTGGCTTCTCCAGGGTAGCGGCTCTGATACCAAATTGTCACGACTTCTAAGAATTAGGGTTTAGCGAGGAGGAATTTTGGGATTGAGATGAGAACGAGAGCAGCAGAGGAAGAGGAATTTGGGGAAGAATAGCAAGAACAGGGAGAGATTTGAAGTAGTTTCAGAAAAGTGTTTCTACAATGTTCGCTTCAATCTGTTCCCTGCCGGCCTCTTATAGCACTGCGCTAATGGGCCTCTCTCACTCCCCGTGGCCCAGCCCAACATCACTGGGTCCACACACTCGAGTTATACAATCTATTAGGCTGTCTCTCCCGCGCAGACTTCCTTCTCTGCCCATTGTGTGAGATTGGTTCGTCGCCTTGATCATCCGTGCCTTTGGGTGGATCAGGTGAAGTAGTCGTCATGACACGGTAGCGCGCAGAGAGAGAGAGTAGAGAGAGAGGGGTGGGGAGGAGAAAAAGAGGCCGAGAGAGGGGATGGGAGGAGATCGAGGAGAGTAAAGGGGGAGAGAGAATAAAAACGAAAAAGGAAGAGAGAGAGAGAGTGTGGAAAATTTGAAGTGGGTGAGAGGGAAAAGAGAGATATTTTTTTTACGGTCCACTTAAAAAGTCTGCACATGAAAATCGATTTTTTCCGTACAGCCCTCTTAAGTCGACCACACGGGATAATAAAGATTATCCTGTGCGGTCGGGTTAAGACGCCCGCATGGGAAAATGCATTTTCCCGTGCGGGCGACAGTCCAGCGCCGGTCCCCCCCCCCCAATTTTTCGTGCGGTTCTAGTTATGGGCCGCATGGAAACAAAAGGGGTGGCGTCCAGGTAAAACTATCATGTAGTAGTGGGGGTGCTAGGAAAAACTAAATATGTTGTAGTAATTCCCTACTTAATTCATTATGGGACTGTTTGGTTGGGACTAAATTTTTTAGTCCCTGTTATATCGGATGTTTGAACATTAATTAGAAGTATTAAACGTAAATTATTGACAAAATCCATTTCATAATTCTGGACTTATTTGCGAGACTAATTTATTGAGCCTAATTAATCCATGATTAGCCTATGTGATGCTAAACATGTGCTAATTATGGATTAATTAGGCTTAAAAATTAAAATTTATCACGTGAATTAGCATTTATTTATATAATTAATTTTTGTAAGTAGTTTATGTTTAATACTCAAAATTAATGTCCAAAACATCTGATGTGATAGGGATTAAAGTTAGAGTTATAGTTAGATATATAATTGCCAATTCGATCTCAAAATTGTCTCGAGTTTTAAGCTAGGTTGCTGGATTGGTGCAGAGCTCTATGCCTCTATCTCGTTTGTCCATTTTGGCTGTTACATCTTCCGCTCAATGTTTATCTGCATATGTTGATGGAATTATTCCTGTAGTCGACACGATAAATGGACATGGGATGGAGGAATGCATGGTCTTCAGTCGGACTATCATTGCGTGCAATTCGAGGTAAAACCCTAATTATTAGTTCTGTATATGATGCTTGGTTTTTATTATTACTAACTGTGTTACGTGATCAATTTACATACAATTAATTATCGGATAAATTGCACTTGACATGAATAATTCCATGGCAATTACCATGAACTGAACTAAAGGCTAGTAGAATTCTCCCTGTGGGTAGTCAGGCACATGGATAATTCCATTAGAGTGATGAAATTAATATACGAGGGAATTTCTTATATGCCACTGAAAATTTATCGGTGGCCTTATATTCCACTTGAAATTAGCTCTTTCATGCTATGAAATTAGCTCTTTTTCTTATATGCCATCGACTTATACCGTGCGTTGACGTTATACATCCATAGTTAAAAAAACACATTTACTCTTAAAAAAAACACATTTACCCCTCTAAGATTTATCAACTAGTTATAATATGACAACTATTCAATTGAAAATTGGCCAAAAAAATATTTATTCTATAATTGATTCTTGCATGTCTGCATGGAAATTTTAAATGTCCTTCTTTTTACAGACGTACTAGTACAAAAATTTAGTGCTATTTTGACATTTTAACCAAAATGTTTTCTCGTTAAAAGAGTTTGTACTTTGTACTAAATCTTTTTTGTTTGGTCAATATATACTACAATCCTCAATTAATGAAGTATATACTATTTTGACTAGTAATATGTCCGTGCTAATGCTACGACAATAATTGATGTTGTAAATGAAATGACTAAAAGACATCTGAAAAATATATGTTTTGACAAGGGAACATATATAGCATTAAAAAAGTTGCAAGGTTTATGGAAAAGAACGTTCTTTTAATCTAATCTTGGCCTTCATCAAATAATCAATAAAAATAGCAGTACAATGCATAGGTTGACTACTAATTAATATCTTGACAATATATTCCCCATAACAAGAATTACACATGGTTTAATTAAACTCTTGGACAATTAGCATATCATTTCCCATTTAAGAAGAAAAGAAACACATTAACGACACAAGGTTTGCAATTGTTTCCAAATCATTAACGATATTGCTGTTTACTGTGGAATGACAATATAGATGGCCCTGCAAGCATATACTCCTTCCGTCCCACAACATTTTGTCTAGATTCGTTGTACTAGGAGAGGTCACATCTCCTCCTAGGTTGTTTTTTTTTGGATGGAGGTAATATAACCAAAGCTCTTGGGAGTAAAGGATAAATAGTGAACGTAGGGGGGAGAAAGGAATTTTTTTTTAATTCAACCTAACCCTTTAATCAGCTGGCCTTTCCAATGCTAGAAGCTAAATATTACCGTTTGAAGCTACATATTTTATCCTTGCTTGACCACAACACAAACATTAAATACCACTTCCTGGCAACAGATCATATTAAAGAAAGTCAATTGTATAAGAAAACCGTTCAGGTTTTAGTTGATTTTGAACTTCAGAAAACTATAATATCATCTAATAGCAACATTCTAACTTTAACAACATTGTTCTTACTTCTGCAAAGTGTAGTATCAACAAGCAATGGAAATCATTATTCATCTCTCTATTACATGACATGACACTTATATAACCTGACTATATATTCATAAAATTTCTATATACAATTCCAGGTGTGTGAAATTTATAATGAAACATTCATCACCTATTGCTTAGAAACTTGATTTCCAGCAACTGAACGAAACTTGATACCAAATGCTTAACATCCTTCATGGTTCTAGGTTAATAATCTTCACTATTATTCACCTATGCGTCACTATAGGATGACATATGCTTAGCATAATCCACACAGACTGAATCAGGATTCATTTTACAGTAGATTGACATGCACAGTAAACTACAGCATTAGATAATATTACTAAAGTTGTAACCATGCACATGAAACCCTCGTTGTGAAGTTCCATTTTATATAAATTTGTGTGGAAGTCAAGATAATGTACATATTCCATTTTTTATCTTCAAAATTGATTATGCTGCTGCTCTGTTTTTCCCAAATTGGAACACCTTGACTATTATTCCTGAAATGAAGGAAAAATGAACATTTAATATAACAAAAAATAAGAATCGTGTCCAAGACCCATGCGGTAAACTACAACGAAAAATTAAGGGTTAATTGGATCAATGCCATTAGAAATTTGCCGTTTTAAAAAAGTACCAGTATTATTTGTGAAATCTGTTATGTGTCACTATATATATATTTTTTAAAATTCGAACCATGCCATCTCCGTCATCTTTTCTGTTAGCATCCTCTTCCGTCTTCGATGGATCCATGCACTCGTCAGGTGTCTTCAATCTTCAGCCGCCACCTCGAGCCGCGGTATGCTCGTGTGAAGGGACTGACTCCGCGATGCCTCGGCGAACCAGCAGCAACGTCTCTGCCAAAGCCATCTCCCGTGCCTGGGCAAAGCGAAAGCACCAACTATGTAGTTTCTACTCATGAATTGCTACTCCAGTTTTTGCTCCTGAATTCACTAAAGCGTCATCTCGATGGATTCCGATTTCTCCTCGTGGATTGCTCAAAGCCTCAACCATAGCATCGATCAAATCCAAACACACATGGGTAAAAAAAATCCATGAAAAGAAATCCAAGAACATGGACTAAAAGAAATCCATCATATACCAGGTCAATTCCAACACCGGACCACAGTTTCCCATGTCTTCCAGGATGCAGCAGAGTGAGGAGAAGAGCCTGGAAACGAACAGCAACGAAGTGCGCCCGAACTAGTGGCTGCGCCAAAAAAAACTCAATGGTTGGCCATGAAGATGACGGGTTAAGGCACTATCATTGGCAAACGATTCGGGACCCTAATGAAAGGGGATTTGTGGGGGCATTGCAGAGGGAGTTGAGAGGAGTAATTCCCCTTAATCAATTGGATTTATTCCTACTACACTACTACCATCTCCTAGTGGAAGGTATTGTAAAAGGCCTCGTTGGGAAGGATGGTTGAGGGAGGTGAACTGGAGGAGGCGCTAGGCTAGCTAGGTTTTTACTGGGGAGAGAGGAGGCAGCAGCTCAGCTGGAGACTCAAGACACCCTGACAAGTGGGCCCGACGATGGAAGGAGCTGATAGAAAAAGGGGAATTTTGCTAGATGACACTTGTTATGTGTGGTTTTAGCCTTAGGACACTATCCAAACTTATTTTTGGGGGAAAGCACTCCATAAACATGGTAATTTGCCAGTGGACACCACGCTGATTAAAATAATACTTTCCGGTTGGGAAGGAGAGAGAAATCGCGTGAAATGCCAAAAATACCGTTGGGCCCACATGTCAGCTCTATCTCCCATCTCTTTTTTCATCTCTCAGAGGCGCGCTCGCACAGGGCAGCGTCGGTCGCGCGCGGAGATGGCGAGGACGGCGGCCGGCGGCGGCGGACGAGCGTGTGGCTGGCGGAGTGGCAGCGTTGGCCTAGCGGAGTGGCAGCGACAGTGAGCGCGCGACAGGCGAGGATGGGACGGGCGTCGGCGACCTGCTTGGCGATCTCGGTGGTGGTATTGAGCGGGTTGGCGGTGGTGA